AACATTGCATTTAAATTCTCTAATTTCTTAAAGGCTTCTCTGTTGACAAATTAATCATTCATGGGTGTAAATACCAACATAGACCAGATGGTTTGACAAGTTAGCAGAACATGAAACGTTCTATAAGTGGAGCTGCTTTGATAACTCTTTCAAAACTGCTTGAAAATGCTGCAAGCAACTTCAAAGGGGGTGTTTTTGGGTTGGGTGAAGGAAGCCCAGTAAGTCTCTAACCCAGCAACACACTGGGTTTACCTGCACGTTGGACAAGAGCAAGAGTCTAGTTTTCAGGACCTTCCGTGTCATTGCAAAGCCTAGGGACAGCGGAGGTCCAGGCCACTTGGTGCAAAGGGCAAGCTGGGTGCTTCCAGTTCCAGCAGGGAGGCGTTCGTATGGAAACCAGAGCGGGGCTTGGTGACAGGGAGGAAGCGGGCCCTCACTTACCAGAGCTGTAGCTGTCAGTGGAAGACTGAGAGATGGAGCGAGACAAGGACCTGCGCCCAGTCTTCAGCAAACTGGATTTGCTGAGGATTGCAAAGGAGCAAGTTACAGCTGAAATTCACAGGAACTGCTCTAATGACTCAGACTGTTCTGTCCATGGGCTCCCTTCACCGCCCCAGCTCCTGCAGTAACAAAACAGCACTACTCAATGGTCCCTTTCCAGAGTTAACAGCTCTGCCTCCCAAGGACCCAAAGTTACACTTTGCTCAATGGCTATTCTCTCTCCAGCCTGGTTAATGCAGACAGGTTAAGCAAAGATCCAGCATATTTCCCTGCAAGCTTTGAAACATCTCCTTGAAACATTTCTAGGCGCCCCAAGAGACGAGCCAAAACCCCACAAAAAACGCAGGACACTGGGCGGTCATCCCTTCTAGGCAAACCCAGTGGCATCCAGCCCAAGCCAGTGGGGACAAAAGCAGTGTCACTCTTACAGTAGATTAGGCATTCACATTAGACACTGATTTGGTTAGACTGGGTAGCACGTGAAGATGCAATGGCAAGAGTGTCAGGCAAGTGGGGAGACACAGAGCACTGCAAATCTGAGGATATCCACTGTATATCTCTAGGTATCCACCTATGTGGTGGCAGATATCCACAGCTCATTTTTGCTGATATGGACGTGGATATCAATTTTGTACCCAGGCAGGGCTCAAGAGATACAAGCTGAAGCAGTGGGAATGGCTACCTCCAAAGACCTTTACCCCAGGAAACAAGCATCCTGTGGACTAAAAACACTACAGACCCCAAAATTACATGCCAGGAGGACCTGACACACCAGGGTGAAAGTTGAAAAGAAAGAACATTTCAACAAAAAGTAGTTGACACTGCATTAATGTTCAGCTTCCTCTGCTATTTTTACAGATGTTTCGATTGTAATCAGAGCTCTTAGCTGGCCTCTCCTTCCACTTCAGCCTGCAGTGAGACTCAGTTCAGGACTTTATCTTTCTCTGTTATCTCCTAAAATCCTAGTCTGCAGGGGCCGAGCAGAGAGCAGACCTGCTAGTTAGTGCCAAACTGCTTCAGAATTCAGCTTGTGGAACAGCAGTATGGTCAGAGCGAGAGAAATGTGGAAGGGAAACAAGTACAAGTTCTGGGCATGGTATTTCAAAACATTTTCCACAGAAACTCTTTACATGGGAAGCAAATCTGGTTTTAAAAAGCCTACAAATTCTGGTTTATACTTCATTTCTACAGGCTGCAAAAGCAGAGTCTGATAGATGACAAACCTCGCAAAATGATCTGTGGCCCTGTCTGACCTTTTCATCGATTGGGAAGGCATGTGATTTAATCGCACCTCTGAGGAGGGATAAAACATCACCCTGAGGAGTGCAGATTAACAAAGCGCCCCACGGAGCCAGGATGCACCACAGTTAGAATAGAGGCCTGAAGAGAATATTAAAAAGTCCAGACAGGTGATATTAGGGGGGGGTTCTACTCAGCAAACCAGACACGCAAAACCATTAAAACCAACTGCTTCCTGGGATGCTCTCAGAAGTGGGGAGGCGCAGAGTGAGATGGCCCTCAAGGTGAGGAATAAATACTTCATCCAAGACGACCCACCCCAAGGAGAACCTGTCCACCCACTGAGCCCAAATACACAATGGATGGAACACTCCCAGCAGTTCAGGCCAGTGAGGAGCCGTGGT